GCCTCAACATCACACGTGCACAGCTGAGCTGCTCAGGTAACTTAAAAACGTAACAACAGCGTTGAGCTCAAATGCAAAAACCCCAAAGAACATTGTTCACAAAGTTTGTGTTGACATGAAAGTTTCATGAAAAATTCGATGACGCGAAAAATGCTGTTTACAGTTCTTCATGGCATGGAAATAAAAAATAGATTGGATTTTCTGCTTATCAAATAACCTGATTTGCGACCAAACAAAGAGAACAAATCAAATAGTAAAAACTAAGATATCTAGGATTTTAACTTTTTTCTTTATTGCGTCTACTCATGTAAAAAAATTAGGAGAGGGCTGCAAAAGTAAGCTGTACTTATAAGAGACGGCTGGAGGAAACAACAATTGCATGAGTTGAGTAATATGACGGAGCATCATAGGAAACCTGGAGGTCTGCCTCCATTCAGCAGGCCTGCCAAAAGCACACCTCCAATTGGTAAATTCACAATGTTACTTTGTGTAGGTTGAGCACACTTTTGGCCATTTTTAGACTGTAAATTGCATGAACAGAACAGCCACCGAGTACTTGTTGTTTGAGATTTCTGACCACCACTAAAAAATAGTGATATCCTATCCCCAAAAATTTCCCTGAGACAGTTTTCATCTTTCCTTGTTATATCTTCCCACCTAATGTCATCTTGAAACTTTGTTAAAGACTATGTATAAGCTAAGCTATTGTTCCAGTGGTTCAGCATAAAGCGGGTGATGGCGATAGAAGTATTGATGTAGATCAAAGACTACATTTACCCAGAACCACTTCAGGCCATCTGTGAAGCCTGAAGATGGAATTGTTTTGGAATTGGGGTCATTTCATGTCTACTCAGCTTTCCTTTTCTGATTGACCTCTGATTCTTTCATCATACCAACAGAATGCCAGTGGAAAGTTTCAAGCCTTCAGTCCTAAAATCTGAAGTATAACTTGCTGGTGAATCTGACACGTAGCCCAAAGACACCGGTGCCTCAAACACCACGCAGCAGATGGGACGGCGGATGAAACGAGGATCAAACGTGACACGGGAGGCTTTCGCTCCTGGAAGGATTGATCAGGTGCCGCGGCTGCTTCAGAACCCAGCAGCTTGAATGTTGTTTTGGAGCAGAAAGACAGCCGCCGTCACACGAGCTCTGAAGTCTCTAAATTAGACGCACATCTACCTCTGTATTGTTTAAGGTTCTGTGATTGGTTTACAGGACCGTCAATTATCCTCTCCTGGCCATTAATTGGATTTACTGTTGACATTCGAACCTCCCAGTAATTTCCAGATCTTCTGGCAGATTGATTTTTAATGATCTTATTTGACTGTGGATTTGCAATATAGAGCCCCTTTTGCTAATAGTGTGAGCATTTTATTCATTTTTTTGTTCAGTGTTGAATCTCATTGGGTTTGTTTAATCATTTTAATTCAATTTCACTTTAACACGGTTAACAGAAGTATATGTGTTTTTTTCTTTGTATAGCATAAATTATACTTTATGATTTATTTGAATTAATTGACTCACCTCGATAGTCTCTTTTTAGGAGATCGGAATGGTAGATTGGAACTTGGGTCCTATTGGATGGAAAGGCATAAACATATTCCTCATACTTTATATTTATTAATGAATTATTGTATTCAAATGTTTACATGGATACAGAAAGGGGCCGATATAATTGAATGACTGCATGCGGTGATATATTTGTAAACTAACGTGTCCTAATATCACCTGCGAAAGGATCTGGAGCATGTGATATAAGAGATGAGGCATCTTGAACTCATGTCAGGAGATCAGCCACATGGAGACAGATAAAGAACACTTAACCACTCAGCTCTTAAGCTGTCCCCTCATACCCCCTCATGTCACGGCCTATGGGTAAAGAGCAATACAAAGACTGTAAACGTAGCTTTAAATGACCAATTACCAATATGCCACAAAAGCTCTTGAGAAGGTAAAACGTTAATGGTGCCATTTGTGTGAAACGCACAGTCCCCCTGGGCCCAAATATTGTTTCGTATTAGGCCACCGAAAGGCTTTATTATCGCTTTACATTTGATCATCATTTCACTAGAAACATGTTGTTTTGTTTTCATTATATATTTTTGTTGCAGTGGATGGCAAATGAATAGATAGCAGCCCATAATTTCCCCTGCATTCTGAAAACAGAATTGTTGATGGGGCCCGATTTAGTTTTCAGAGTGATGCCTCATTATGCAAGATGGCATGTATCTTCACATGACATTAAGGAGGGGGATTAGAGAAAAAGGGGGCGGGAGAATAAGTATAAAAGGAGAGGAGGAGAGGTACGGGACAGACTGAAGCCGACCAGAGAGAAAGCAGCAACAAGTCACCTGTAACACAGCAGAAAAAGGTAAGAATGATTCTTAGGATTTTTTATTTGTCATGCAGGGATGTAACACTTCCAGGTGAGGTCAGGTCTCGGGAAAAACCCAAGTTATGTGATGTTTTCAAATGCTTTTTGTTTAAACTTTAAAAATAATTTGGAGGAGTAAAAGTAAACATGGAACTAAATATCAGTGACTTACAATCAGGGAGCTAAAGTTGATTACATGAATTATTTTCATATTACATTCTTTTAGTTCTCCATTGACAATTAGATTCACAGGGGTTTTGTTACAAACAAATCAGGCAACAGAAAACGAGACAAATCGACCCAAAAGGCCAGATTTAATCAACATGGCTCCATTTGAGTTAGGTTTTAGGATACAATAATAATAATTTAACCAATGGGTCATTTTTACAGTGATCATTTCCTATAAAATACATAACAGATTTTTTTATAGGAAAATTACTTTCCTATAGAAATAAATGCGGCATATAACAGAGATAACCAGCAGATCATTTTTCATTCAGACATGTAGTTTGGTGTTTTGAATATTGTACGTGTCTTTGCAAATAGTAGTAAGCAGAATTTGAAGTGGGCTGACTTTACCATAAAACGTGATAGCATCAGAAAAAAAAGAAACAAGAAAAAAGGAGAAAAACTGACACAAGAGGAAACATCTAAAACTTTTTCCAGTCTTCTGTTCTCTGCTCTGAATCTGCTGTTTCCTGTGAAATAGACTCTTCCCCATGAGTATCAGGGTTCACCGGGAGAAGATTGCAAACATCCGTCCTAGTCAGAGAAAGACCCTAAAGACACTACAAAATTGCATTTTGATTACGCTAATAAGCGTGAGAAATAAAATTAATTAGGGTGTGAAAACTAGTTCACATCTGGGGTCAAACACAGAGCACTGATGAGCTTTCCCCTCAAAATGTGCTTATTGGACAGATTAAAGTAGATTGAAAATTGGTGGCGAAGTGGAAAATCTCCTTATGCGACTCAGGGCTTATTGACGCACAGTAAGTGTATTAACTTGAGTCTCGCTGTTTAATTGGGCGATTTTTGATCTATAACTGCGCCAAGAGTCATCTTAAAAGCTGTAGGTTGTAAAAATAGACAAAGCTCTTTGCATAACAGAGTCTTAGGGCACCGGGACTGTCACAGCACATAATGCAGCCCTCACCTGAAAGTGTTACATCATTGAGTGGGGGAGTTGGGACTTAGAGGAGGAGGAGGAGGATGAAGGGAAAGGGTGTTACAGGTGAGGATTAACTGACATGCTGTTAATTCTGTCCACCGCAGAGCATAAAAGATGGCAGACGCAGCCGTTGCAGCTCCCGCTGACAAGAAGGCACCTCCCAAGTTCAAGCAGAGGACTGCTCGCACCTTCAAGAGCAAGGCCCCCAAGCCCGGCCAGAAGGGGTGAGACAGACACACTTTAAGAACGTCATACAAACTCTCGCTACATACCAGATCAGCGATTTCCAGTTTGACGCGCCAGGGCTGCTAATATCTTGTTTAATTCGCAAGTAATTTAATCATCACCTGAAGTTCAACTAGTTTCCTCTCACATTTATCAGCAACTCAGTGAAGAAGAAGAATGGAACATTGACAGTGACACCTGCTTTTTATCCAAAAAGTTAGAGTAATAAGTAATGGAAGAATGAAACCAGATGAAAACACAGTGATTTGTTCTCTAAAAGCCAGGCAAAAACAACGGGACACATTCGACATTATCGGGAAAACCTTCCATCTTTCAATCAAAAAGTGCATCCTAGTTTTGCATGTTGTTTTTTTTCTTACAACAATGCTTCTCGTCCCTTTTTTTTCAGATTCGGAGACGACATCCCCGGCATGGAGGGCCTTGGCACTGACATCACAGTGGTTTGCCCATGGGAAGCCTTCGGGGACATGGAGCTCAGCGACCTGGCGAAATACGGAATCGTCTAGAGACCTTGCCGTGTCTTCACCCCCCCCATCCCGTTTCGCCCATCTACTACATTACTGCGACGCCCATCTTGCCCCGTTTCCCTCTGCCTCCCGGGTCGCCCGGCCTCGTGTCTGTTGTAATGCACAGAAACTCAACCACAGAGCTGTGTCAGAGATGTGTCAAAATAGCAATATATATAAAAAAAAAAGATGTATATCAATATGCTGCAATTATTTATTTATATGTGCTTCACTGAGTTCTTTGTGTTTCCACCTATGGTCCTGGTCCTCCTCCCCTTCTTTGCACTCCACTGATGCTTCTTTGAGAGACCGTCATAGGACTTAATCAGGACAGATCAGTGTTATATCTTTACTTATCCTTCTCTCCTCTCTTCTGCCTTTTTCTTCTATCTCCATCTCCCCCAACCCCCTCTTTGGAGCTATTTCCTCTTAATGTACAGCTGTTTATGAAAGATATATATTTTTATTAATTATGCACGTAAATGTGAGAATAGGAATGGAAGCCACTGTTCAATAGAACTGTCCAAAAAACATTTTCCCCCAAGAAATTATGTCTCGACTCAAACCCCAAAACTCATATGGAGAAATAAAGTCTAAATCTCAGGTAATTCACATCTGGTCTTGAAATCAGTGATGTAACACAAACCTGTAACTTATTCTAGATGATGTGATATACAAACATGCATCATTAAAGCTGTTGTAATTAGCCATGCTAATGACTTAAGGGATGGTTATGTTGAGCAGTTTTTCCATCACTTTGGAATAATCCAACCATTAAATTGTGTACATAACACTGTGATCCCAAAGGTTGAACTTTATTGACTTTGTTGAAGATGTTCTTTAATTGTCACCTCAGCACTGTAGCTTTCTCTTATTCGAAAGTGTACTCTACATCTAATCGTTTGACATGCTACAGCATATCCATATATTGGATGGATAGCTATGAATAATTTTTTTACTTTAAACATAAATATTTTGTTGATTCCATTTCAAATTACGAGGTTATGTAATATGGTCTCGAGTGTAGTCAAAACATTCTTATGTTCGCTGCACGAAGGCCGTGTAAAAACCAAACAAAGAGATTCTCAAAAGTAACAACCGAAATCTCAGAGAACACAGACGCAAAGTAGCAACATAACGTTTCTGTAGAAAAAAATCACAGGAAACTAAAATCAATACATCGGAGAAGATATGAAAAATGTGATCCAGGCAGCTGGGATACAAAGGAAAACACTAAATGAAAAAGCGGAAAATTTTCTTGGAAAAAACTTAACCAGGAAAAAAAAAAAAAACTGTCACGACGCAGGCTGAGAACCAAAGGGATTGGAATGATCTGGATAACCAAAGACATCCACAAAACCCTCACAGGTGTCTTACAGAAATGAGAGGATTTGTCCAGTGGATAGTGGTCATCGCCGGGGTGTAGTTCCACTGCCAGGCAACTACAAACGTCCACTAGAAATGTAGGAAAAAAAAGGCTTTTTAGGATAGAAAAAGCTTAACCTCCAAACGCAGCCGCAGATGTTACGCAAAAGCAAAACCCCGAAGCAACTCGCTCTCAACTGTGGGTGGATCTGAGTTTAATCAGTTTAACAGCAGAACTGGACCGGGATGGTCCAAGAATAGGATGGAACAGATGCTGGTGAACCTTCCATTAGAAAGAATAATATCCTTAATAAAGATAAGCAGCTAATGCTTGCAACTTGAGGGCCTTTCATTATTTACACCAAACAATTGAACTTCTTAGATGTCCAGGTTGACTAATGGTTGCAGATGATGCATTTCTCAATTTCAAATGATTAAGAATTCCAGAAATATAAGTGCTGCAAAAGGTAAAACACATCTTAATGTAATCTCAATTTCTATTGCCAGTGTGGTTCCACTTACTCTCACTGCTTTGTATATATCTTTTTGTATGCATGCTTATTTGTTGTTAAGTTGGTAAGCATTGTGTTTGTCAAGTGGATGTGTAAAGAGCAAAAATAAATACAATTATTGGGGGGCTGAAAAAATACAGATTTGCATATATGTATATCAATTACTGCTTGCTTAACTTAACATAAAAACTTTAAATAGGATCTGATCAGGTAGTCAAATTTTCTAATAGCCAATAAGAAAGCAGATGCCAGTATTTTCGTTAGGAGGTAGAATCTGGGAAACTTTAGCCTTCAACTTTTTCTTTCCTCCATGCTAAATTACACAGTATGGACATTTCTTAATAGTTGATTCATACATTTTTTTAAAAATGAACACAGTAAGCTCGATCACAACAAAACATTTTATATAAAACATTTTATATGCACATTCAATAACAAAAAACAAAATAAAAAACCAAATAAAAAAACAGAATGGCAGTGGAGGGGGGGGGGGGTACAGACAGGACAGAGGGAGAGGGCTGTTCTTTGAGAAATAGCTACTATGAACATGACCACATAGTTTTTTCTACTATACAGTGGCGAGAAAAACCGTGACAGGAAAACCAAGCTGTCCTTTTCACGGCAGCCATTTTGTCAGCTGGCCTTTTTATTTATTTATATATTTTTTGCCAAACAGCACTGTGCTCTTTATTGTGTTAACCGGCATCAAACCGCCAGCTGCCCGTCAAGAAGTTTAGTGGTAAAATTCAAACAAAAAAACAGAAACAAAAAGCAACTGGGTACTGCTGCCAAGGAAGAAAACATGAAAAGACACAAGATTCATGCAAAATGTCTTTTTTCTTATTTTTTTTTTAACTCGACAAGTGTCGCTCATGCTGGTCTGTCCATGCCATCAAGTGGCTCCAAAAGTCCATTTTTGTATTTTTTTTTTCTTCCTTTTTTTTTGTAGCTATTTTAGGGTTGGGAACCAGAACATGCTGGGGACTGTGAGCATCTTTGGCTGGCGCCTTCTTTTTCTTTTCTAAATATGTCCAGAGCACAATTGATGTTAACATGAAGCTATTTTTCAAAATGGAGAAGAAAAAGAAAAAAACTCAAAAAAAAAACATGGCACGAGAAAAATAAAAAGTGACTTATCCTGCGATAGTGAGCCTAGACAAACACAAACTTAATACAAAAAGATGCTTAAATAATGGAAGTACTTCACACAGCGGGGATCAGATTCCAAGCAGGAACACAAACCCGTGTGTGAACGAGGGATAACACTTTCGAACATTTTAGCGGATAAACTTTGAATAAACCTGGACTAACCATAAGGTTAAAGCCGACAGATTAAGCCTCTGAAATGTAAGGAATCTGCGTTCAATAAAAATGAAAAAAACAAACAGAAATAAATGTTCAAACAACAGAAATAAAACGCAGTGGATTTGAAAAAATACTCCAAAAGACCAACATCCAAAAATCCATCCATTCCAAATGCCTCACCAGCAAATTATGGCCACACATGAAGGAGGGGGGTGGGGGACAACAAAACATGTTTTTTTCTTTTCATATTTTTATGTCTGAATACTATTAAAAAAGAAAAAAGAAGGCAAGGATTAATTGAGTATTTAAATGACAAAACGGAAGGAAAAAAACGGATAACGTCACCCGCATACCTTTAAATGTCACTTTGGGTATACTCATAATCCAGGTACGTCAGTCCAAAGGAAACTAAACTTGAAATGTGCACCTTACTGAGGAAGGAACAACACACATTATATATATGTATAGATATATATAATGTGTGTAATGCGTATGTATATGCATATATAGAAATACATACACATACAAACCCACACGCGTACATAGATCTTTTAAAATAAACTATGAAAAGTAAATAAAGACAGCTATAGGATTATGATAACAATAACACATAATATATTTATACATACGGCAGAAAAATGTGCTTTCTACAAATCTTTGGAACAAAAACAAAAGCCAATAAAGCCACGTTTTGGAAATATAGGGTACAATAGTATAGAAATATGCACAATAGTAATGTGTTTTGCATTTAAATATTCACTATGAACTCTAAATGAATCTCTCTCTTGCTCAGTAATTGCTGTTGGCAGCATCTTAGTCGCAATTACCAACTAAAGTGTGTTTCAGGAAGACTCGTCCGGTGCTTTGACTCTTTAAAATATGGAGCATGAGGGATACAAATCCAAATAATACATCTCTCCATTAAAGGACCGTTAAAGGATGGATGGATGGCTGAACCTCAGGGCTAAAGGTGGCGCTCTGATCGGCCTGTAAACTAAACCAACAGTACGCTCGTAGTGTGGCGTCGTGCTTCTCTGTAGTGTTCGGTGAAGGTTGCACGTGTAGTGAAATATGCACCAGAAAGATGACACACGCAGAGCTATATAGTCTGAAGATGGAGTATCTGTAATATCGAGGTTGATTTTTCTCATTTTGAACCCCAAGATTCACTGTTGGACCGCCGTGAAGCTGGGACAAAAAAAAAAAAAAAAACTAAAACCATGGTTTCATAATAATGAGGATAATTACAACAGTAATAATAATAATAGTAATAATAATAATAATAATAATTTGGTAATTTTTTTTCTCTAAACTAATTTCTTTGCATATCATAACAATTTTAAGTTTAAAGGTTTACCATTTCCACATACTAAGAAAACTTGAGGTAAGGAACAGCTCTAATAGACCCTCCCTCCATTCAGCTTCCGCAATCTCTCCCAAACCGCCATGTCCGGCCTCCTTTGGAGCAAAAACTATCCCCCCCGCTCCCCCCGACTTCTGGAGGACATCTAAAATCCACCAGTGGGTGCTTTATCACATCAGAGACTCTCCTCATCGTGTCAAATTGTTTCCGGGTGCTCTCTCTCTCTCTCTCTCTCTTTCTCTCTCTCTCTCTCTTTTTGCACGTCGCTCCTTTCCCTCCGCCGTCCCGACGTGTCCGAGCCTTCTGGCGTCCCTCTCTTTTTCCCCCGTTAAAAAGCGGAGCGCTCTCTCTCCGCTTTCTGGCGCGTGAGCGACGGCTGCTGAAATGTCAAGTTGTCCACATACAGCCTTTGGAAGAACATCTGGGCTCCGTCCCCAAATCTTGTGCTGCTGAGTGCCGAGGGGGAATAAGAAGGGGGGGAGACTATAATACAGCCGTGCAATAAGGGAAGGTGGCCATTTTTTTAGTCTTGGTTTTTTTTTTTTCTCTTCTTTTTCTCTTTTTTTTTTCAAATGTAAAGGCCATCCTTCAGTCTTTAATACAGCATTCCTCTATTTCTGTAGTAGCGTATATAAGAAAACATAGAGACTGCTCTGGGGTGGGATCAGAAATTTCTTTGTTGTGGTCAACTCCACACGTAAAACGGGGTGCAGTCCACCACCATAACAACAGGGGGAGCTCTTTCAGAGAAATTCAATGGAAGAGAGGAGCTCCTGGGAAATGTAGTGTCTTTAGTAAGGGGCAAATCTACTGTAGCCCCCCCTGTACAGCGTGGCCTGTAAAACAGAGCAGAAAGAGACAGTTAGAACGCTAGCTTTCATTTCAGGGTACAAAAAGACATTTTCTATTTAAAAAAAAAAATCATGATGTGAAAAAAAAAGATTTTGCATTGCTTAACTGAGACGATAAAAAGAAAACAAAACAAGATTAAGTCTTAAGTTTTAACACAAACTCAAACCTGCCTGAAATGTGCTGCAATCTGGTGTTTAAATAACGCCAGAAGTAGTTAAATAATGAGGAACTACTTTAGTAGATGTTCCACACTGACCCTATAGTTGAATGCCACTGTGGCTTAATGTTTATGTTCGACCCAGGGGGCTGGTGACAGGCAAATGCGTTCCATCTGCGTCCGTTTCATTGGATAAAACAAACAAACAAATTTAGAAAATAAAAATATAAATTGGTGCTGGACATGAATACTACCCCCATATAAACAGAAAACCTAAACACAAATGCAACATGTCTCCTTTAGGAGAGTACAACAATTGTATGCCTATGTCACACAGTAAGACATAAAATGATTAAATATAATACAATTATACATACATATATTATTTTTTTAAACAGTGTCTGATCTGTGATTCCAGTGCTAATTTCCATTCCAACAAGGGCCGTCTAATGATGGGATAAAAAAAAAAAACGCTATAGAACCTACACTGAAAATGCTATTTATGTATTCCTTTTTTTCCCCTTTATGACTAAAAGTACCTTGAATTTATTTAGCTGCAGATCTGATTAAAATAGAAAAGGATTGCCTCAGAGCATGCCAACACCAGCTTGTTTTTTTAAGGTTAAGATTTCATAGAAATAAGTGGTCTGATAGTGAGAGTGGTGGCTCCCGTAGGTCCAAAAGTCTGTTTATGATGGAAAGCACTAACTAGCTGTTATTCAAAGGGGTATAAATCTGTAACTCATCCCTCTGTGAAAGTTTTAGTGTCCTTTGCATGAACTCACCATAGCTCCAACTCCATAGGCAGCTGGAGCAAGTGCAGCGTGGTAGGGGTCTGCTGTGTAAACTCGTCCATAGCTGTGAGACACATCAGAGAGTTTTACAGAGTTCAATTAGAAATCAGAATCAAAATATGCCGCAACTGCTGGAAAAATCGACATTTCTGGGTATGTTTGGAAAACGCAAACTGCTTCAAATCGTTTGCCACTGTAATTAACGGCGAAGTTACTGATGTCATTCATTTCAGAAAGTAAATGCAATGATCCCTCAATCCATAAACCAATATTTTGTTTGCAACACAAAATGGGAAACATAAAAAACAAAACATTACATATTTTTGGATTTAAATAAAAAATTTAATTTCATTTTCATATATATATATATATATATATATATATATGACAATAGCAGATGCTGGACAGTGGCCATATACTTGTCTGATGTGCCAAAAGGTGTTCAGTGAGTCTGAGTTCTGGACTGCCTACAGGTCAGACGAGGATTCTGAACAGAGCCCTGATTACATATTGAATGGGGATGATTTGGTCTGGGGGTATCCATCCAGCCCATGACTGGATGCAATTCAAAAATTGATTAGTCTGTCCTTATAACTGTTTTCCACTCTATGGCCGTTCTAAATGATGTTTTGGCCCAAAGAAGGGAGTTGCTGGATCCCGTCAACACATAGCTTGCTCTTTGCATAAATGAGCTACAACCTGCATTTGTGGATAGCACAGTGAAATAAAGTTCAAGATAACTGATTTTTGGAAGTACCCCTGCGCCCTTGTGGAGATTTTCATGTTCGAATAAAATCCAGTGATTCCTAAGGGGTCTGATTTTCTAACACCTCCATTAAAAACAAATGTTTCTTTCGACCTTCAACTTTTCTGATAAATGTATCAACTTTGTAACTTGTGTCCATAAGATGGTGGAATATTCTATAAAATATAAAGAACTTTTTTTTTAATTGCATCCATCTATTTCTGAGAGATCACCTTTTTTTTTTATTTACAAAAATAATCTAATTCAAGTTATGTTATTAAACTTTTTGAAATGAGCCTAATTAGTTGTAACAAGTTTCTCCATCTCTTTATTTACTCTTCCAATCTTATATGGCTTCTGTCCAGCACATGTTTTTTTCACGAAAGAGGAACTATTTTTATATGTGCTGTTGTGAATAACACACCAGTTAATAAACTTTCATAATCAGTCTTTTTTTTTTTTGGTAACTATAATTAATAATGTCTTAGTTTAGCTGCTAAGAATATCCCCAACCCCTCTTGCAAACCCTGAAATTTGGGTGGTGGGTTTTTGTGGACACCTACCTGTCACTGTAGGCCGCGGCTGCGGCGGCTGCGGCTGCAGGGGTTGCTACGGCAGCCGGCTGGGCATACCGATATGCTGCATAGCCACCCTGTGAGGAGGCGAGGGCGAGGAGGGAGGCGGGGGAAATCGAGAAAGAGAGAGATGTGCAGGAGAGGAGAGAGGAGATGAAGGGATAGGGCGGGAAGGGGACAGAGAAGATGATGAGACTCGAGTTCAATTTCTGCCATTTCGTCTGCAGAGTAGAACACTAACAGGGAATCTAAAGGGTTACATTGTGAGAGAAAACTGCAGAGAAGAGCGAAAAGATTAACAAGCAGACAGTCAGCAAAACTGGATAATCTGGTGCAGTACGGCATTCACAAGAATGTAGCTCAGGCTCTGCGTGGCTCTCTCCCTCCATGACTAACTCAGCAAAAATAGCCTGAATTGTACACGATGCTTTTGGCTGTTTGCAGCACTCGAGTGCTTCGTCTTCCCTGCTGTGAGTTCGACAGAGAGGGAGAGAGAGCTCATGGCCATATCTGTGTCCCACCCCCGTTCCCTTCCAAAAACACAAAGTTAGAGAAAGGGGAAGGGGTGGCAGGATGATTGTGTCATTATTCGTGTTTGGATGAACAGCTGATGAACGGACACACTAAGGAAAAACAAAAGAATACTACAGGTGTAAGAAGATAGTCAGCCAGTTGGATAAAAAAAACAAAAAGAAAAAGAAAAAAAACAAAAGGGGCAAACACGCTCACTCTCACGTGGCCAGCAACCAATCACTGACAGACACAGCATGCTTTCCCAAACTCAGAACATGTATTAGGTCATAAAACCCTATTAAAAAACAAAAGCAATAAATAAAAAAACAGAAGAAGACAAACAACGCACACCACTACATTCTATCCTAAAGAATCAGTCACGACCAAGTCCCTGCATTCAGGACCACACAGTTGCTGCTATGGGAGGAAGGCTGGACTAGGCGGGGAGGGAGAGAGGGTGGACGGGGAGGGGGTGGGTCGTAAAATACAGGAATGTGAGAAAAACAAGACAGAACTGTAACAGAAAAGAGAAATTATACAACGGAGAGAGAAAGAAAATAGGCCAAATGCAATGGACAGTAAAGCTACTTCAATAATTAGGGAGGGGGAAAAGACAGAGGAAAAAAAAGAAAAAAAAAAGTGAAAAGGTGACTTTTTAGAAAAGAAATAAAGTGTGTGGGGGTGGGTCTGGGGTGGGGTCAGCCTTGTAAGTACGTCTGCATGCTGACACTGATTCAGTTAGCATGCCACAGGTGAAACAGATAGGGAGATTCCTGGAAGGGGTCGGAATTAACTGCAGATTGGGTGAATATTGGACTACCACTGTGCCACAGAGCTTCGTCGTCTTTTCCTGGAGTTTTAGCTTTCTTTATTATGCAAATGCGCCGTTTTACTGATCCTCCTTGCAACAAAGATGAGTAATTATCAGGCCATTTTGCGTGTGAGTGGGGCGACGCTTTGAGGCGTTGGAAAATGTTACTGGACCGAAAACATCAACGCTGAACAGCGAGAAGGTGTATTTGATTGTTTTCGGGGAAATATCAATAGGGGGCTACATAATAGGATATTTTTCTCTCCCCGGTCGTTCATTTTTCATTTTGTAGTAAGCAATATAAACAAGTTGGGAGTTATGGAACATTTTTAATTGAAGGGTTTGCCATTTACCAGTCATATTCCAAGATTTAGGCTCTTTGGGAATTTACTCATTGAAGCAAAAATACCCTTTTTTAGGTCTCTTACTATTAACCCCCTCAATCACAAAGATTTAGAAATGGGATCAAATAGTGGTTTTGAAAAAGGGTACAGATATAGGTTTAGTTCTCTGACTTGGGTTTATCTGTTTAAGTCCCTGTCATTCCGGAATAATTTAGCGATCATTATTAAAAACAATCAATCCTCTGAAAGTCTTCAGTAGAACCATTTCTTCAAAGAGTCTGTAAAGGAAATTATATATGGGCTGGCTCCACTTATTAGAATGTAGTATTTTCATAACAATAATAATATTTATTAATTTGATTTGTATAGCATACTTTACAGTCTTGCTAAAGATGCTTTACAGTTCTGCATTAAATTAGGTTTGAAACAATGAAAAATAATCCTGAAATAATCAGGACTAAAATAAAACAGATCTAAAATAAAACTATTAAAATTAAGGCCAACAAAGTGTGGTTAAGAACGAATAAATCATAGGGGAAGTCTTATTTGCTAGTCTTGTTTTCTTTTTTCTTTTTGATGTAGTCGCAAACAAATGAAGCTTCGTTAACTCTCAGAACGTTTGGCTGAATGTATAACCTGGATTGGATTGAATTGATCCAAGTCCTTCAATCTCAATTGCACTACATTGAAACTCTGTTACTAAAGAATCAAAATAAAAAACAAAAAACATTCCCACATCACTTGGAGGAATATGGTATTCATTATCAAATCAGATTGGAACTGAATTCTTTTCTCCCCCTTCCGTAACTCCACCCATGTCAGAATCCAGTGAGTTAGTAGAAGAAGACAGAGAAGGCATTTCAATCTCAGATGGTCAATAATGTCTAGCAGCACGCAATCATTGGAGACGAGGAGGATGCACACTGGCTCTCACACAGAGTGTGTAGACCCTACCTGGGGCAATCTGCCACTAATGTCCTGAAACACTAGTCTACAGAGAGAACAGAAACAGCTATTGTCAACCTGGTCACACACGCACACACTGTAACACACAGGCACACTCTCATAATCACATTGGTACTAAAACATACTCACAAATGCACAGAAACAAACCCTAGAAGAGTCTACTCGTGAATGAGTGTGCGATTTGAATGTGTCCTGCACTGAGTGTGTGTGTGGGGGGGGTGAGGTGGGGAGGGGGAAGGATCGTATTTCTGCCATGAAACACTGTACATCACTAATGGAACATTCCAAGTGAAGTGTGTACATTGAATGCTTTTAAAGAAGTGAAAACTATAATTGTGATCTTTTAAAAAAGAAACAAAAGAGAGATCTTAGGTTCTGTTGTAACATGAAATGTGGAGTGGCGATGAATCCAAACACCCAAAAGTACACGCCTCTATGAGTTTGATCCGTGCAGTTTCACACTTGAAAACCCACAGGCAAAAAGAGGGAGGGGGGGACGGGGGGGGACGTAGGTGACGAGTGAGGCAGTGGAGGAGGGACAGCGATACTTACGTAGAGATCGGCCGCACTGTAAAAACCATCCTGATAGGCCATCACACTGAGAAGGAGACAGATGACAAGAATGGGGGGGGAGGGGGGGAAAAGT